AGCTTTAAATGGTCTCCTTTGGTTCTTGGTGAATGGTGGTTACATAATTAAGCTAATAATGTACAGTCTTCTACACTTTGATTAGCTTTAACTAATTTGATGTTCAATGTATGCACCTCTTTAGAAGAAAATAATTAAATAGTGGAGAACTAGAAATAAAAAAATGAAAAAAATGTAAAAATTGTAATGGATGTATAATAAGCACATGGAGGTGATGATGAATCCGAAACAAATCAGTCAAATTTTAAATGAATGTATTGTTTCAATGTAGTACATGCATATGTCTATACATGTATGTGTGAACACAAACATTTGTAAAACTAAACAGTAACCCACAAACATATAACTAACATATTCTTGGATCAGGGAGTCTTGTTTCAGCAGCATCATGTTCAATGTTTGATGAAATCAATTATCAACTGACAAGTTGGCACTTACCAACCTTTTTTATTTTCTTTTAAGAACAAAATATATGTGGAGTTTGAGCAAATTTCTAAACAAGAAAACTTCCTACAAGCTTACTTTAAATAACTTTAACCAAAATCCAATACCAGGTAATACAAACAGACTCTCTCGAGTTGACGCAGATAAAATTTAACAATAAAATTTTTACAATCAGATCTAGTTCAAATAACAAGGCTCACTATCCTAACACTACGTACAATGACAATGCCGTTGTGTTGTGATCGATGATCACCAAAACTTCTTGACTTCAACTTTCTCCTTTCCCGTCACCGGGAACCTTCCCCGGAGGTGGTGTCAATTGACCTAATCCATCTACAACAGTCACAATCACACAACGCGGTAAGGCAACCGTGGTTCACAGTTTAATTTATGCGAGCTTGTATTTCGAGTTACATTTGTAGCGGCTTTGAGTCCTTTACTTAAAGAGGAGTAGAACAGAGAGGGTTTTGCCTCACCTTTTAAAGCTGGAATTTCTTTTTCAGCTTGTGCAAAATAGTTTTTCGCGTTATGTGCTACTTCGGCTTCAAGAACTGCCTCCAACATTATATCAGATCCTCTTGCACTCTCTGCAACCACATGAATTATAGGATAAAGTTTCAATCTTTTTCACTTACCAAGACAGTGAATGGTAGCAAGAGTAACTTCGGTTTTCTAAACTAGAGTCCAGAAGATTTGGAAAGAAAAGACATTTTTTACCATTGCGATGAGGGAGCAGCTTTGCCATCTCAGCTGAAACAGGAAGAACAGGTGAGAGACCTGAATCACTGCTTAGGGTATGACTTTTGCCACTAACCGCCTCAGATAATCGTGCAAAAGTTGTTGCTTGGGCGTGTAGGTTAACTGAAGACGATGAGCCACTAAATTCTTGAGCCTTTGTGGACATAGAAAGAAAAGAGTGTGAATGAATGACACAATTATATAAATAAATATAAAAAAGAGAAATCAAATGGACCAAGAAGGATTCATAACATAAACATACCCTTTTCCAATGATCTGCAGGCTTCTGTCTTTCTTCAACATTGACCGATCCAACATTCCCTACAAGATACAGAACCAGATAAAGAAACAACCATAACAACAAGCAAGGAAAAGAAGTGATTGGTTTATTTATTATACCATTGGTGCTTGGATTAGATTCTGGAGAATGGTTATCCACTCTTCGAGTCAAAGGACTTGGATTAAACAGAGAGAATCTTGCTCCATGGCTAATAGCATCCAATTGTGCTTGCAAATCTTGAACGTTTTTCGATAGCTAAACAAAGTACGAGAGTAAAGATCACAAAGACTTCTCTACTTGTTTTGTGTAATAACTTCAAAGAACACTAATGCTTTTACACAAATACGATTGATTTTAGCTATCATTTCTACACACAAGTCCCTTTGATTCAAGATTACTTTCAAACGAACAATGTTGAAATTGGAAAAATCAAGAACAGATTATGAAATCGAAACCTCTTGCATCTGAGGTTGTTTCATAACACCATCCATGTGTCCACGAGCCATTTGGATATATCCAATTGCTCTTCCGAATAATCTTCCTCCTGCTCTAGCGATAATCGGAAGATCCTTCGGCCCTGAAAAATTTGGAAATCCACTGATTCAAATTATCTCTAAAAGAAAAAAAATCCGATTAAAAGCAAGTATCTATATCTCTCCCGACAAACTTG